TACATCTCCTTTAGATGGCAAGACTAATTTTAGGAAAGAATAAAAATAACATTATAAATAAAAGTTACTAATATTTTTTAAATTAACATTTTAGAAATACACACCATCAGAAAAGAATATAGAATTTAGACATATTACAATATTCTAATATATTCTCTATAAAAATATATATTACATAATTAGATTTTAAAATCAATTAATTACTTAATTTTGAGTCTATATTGGTCTTTAACATTTAGATCTAAGTTATCTAAATAACCCTTATAAAATTATAATTAATTGTATAATAATGCCTAGAGATAATATGGCCATCTAAATCCAACCTAATAAAATTTTTTTCTCTTCATAAAAAAATGAATCAAATTCTTAAATATATAAAAGTGAACTAAACATAAAAATGAATATTGATATCTCCACTACCATCTAAACTATAAAATTTGATTTGCGAAAAATATCACGATAGTGATAAATTGATTTAATCTAAAAGATACTTGTTAAAAGTAATAATCCTAATTATATTATCTGTGAGTTTTAAGTATATATCAAAAAATATAAAAAGAATACTTATCTAAAAAGATGAAGAATTTAAAATTTTTGATTGTTGTTCATCCTTATTAATGAAAATTTAAATCTGATTTAATACTTGAATATTCTGAGCATTATTCCACCATATAATATAATAATTATGCTTAGAATTGAAATTTGAATAAAATCCATCCAATTATACATCTAAATATTTCGAGTATATAACAAAACTTTAAAGAGAACGTCCCAACTGTTTATTAGTAGAGCTTTTTAAAGACCTTCATACGTTAAAACATTTTATAATTTAATTAAATTAAGGCACATGTTATAAAAAGCTTAACTAAACTTAAGAACTATATTAGAATTTAAATATTATGATAATTATTACAAATATTGAAAGCATTTTGAACTAAATAAACAATTATAAACTCCATATTTAATCCATTTTAATATAAAAACTATTAATAGAAACATAAAGCATTAAATAATTTGGGATGATAGATTTATAAGTAAATTAGAGTTTTATTTGTAATAAAAAAATTTTCCTTTTGAATATATTTAATCTTCTTAAATGTCTATCAACTTGAAAATTTGATTATAATGAATATGATTGAGCAATGGTTAAATAGTTAGTAAATCATTTATAGAAAAATATATTTCTAAATTTAATGGAAAAGGCAGATTAATGTATCTTAAGTATTATTAAAATTATAAGATTGTAAGAACTTCAAAAAATAATTCCCCACTTCCAAATAATAAGTATAATCCTGTTATACAAGATAAAGCATAAATCAAGTATTTATTTACATTTTAAAACATTTATGAGTAATCCTTCTGGTTATCATTTAAATATTTGGGATATTATAATCTTATTGAATTCTAAGGATTTATTAACAAAGCATTATCAAAATTAGCTACTGTCTGATTTACAAAGATTTTTAAAACTGGTTTAAACTAAATTAATTAGAGTATTTCTATTTCCAAAACATATTCTCCGTTATTGATATATGATCCAACATCTTATAAAATGTGTAAGTTGCTACTCCATTTTTTCTTGTCTATACTTTGTACTTAAAAAGTTATAGTTTCAGATAAAGCTTGAAACGTGTAAATTTTTACTTACTGGTTAAACATTATACTAATGTATTATTTGTTATGAGTCATATTTAGATAATTAATTATTAATTTTGGTTATCTTACAAAAGAGCATTAAGTAGGAGAATCTTTTAATATTGTCTAACAGATCCAATTTTATTCAATGACACATTCATTACTACATCCATCGGCTATTTAATCATTTCCATCATCACATTACTCTTATTCTTATAAAAATCCATCTCCACAATTCAATTATTATTTATATTAATTCAAATTAAGTAATTGATTATTAAATTGTAAACAAATACCTTGATAACAATCATCACAATGAAAAGGACAAGAGAACTTACAATTAAAACAACCATCAAATTGTATATTATTTCCATCATCACATTCCTCTTCTTAAGTAACAATTTAATCTCCACAAATAGAGTGACAATCATTATTTACAAATTCATATTCATTGCCACATTTCAATAAACATTATCCTTGATCACAAATATCACAACCTTCTATACATTGAAATTAACATTCATAACAACC